CTGCCCGCCGGAGCGGCACTGCGAGCGAGGGGGCCTTACGGCGCCGCCACCGGCCCTTGGAGGGAGGGAGAGCGGGGGCGAGCGGAGGATGGCGGGGAAAGGAGCGGGGGGCGGCGGCGCCGGCCCGGGCGGAGGGACGGAGGAGACCCCCAGAGTCGGTGGTGGAGGCCCGGGTCTCCCCGGGGTCTCTGAGGAGATGGGTCCGGGCACCGCAGCCGCCGGCCCCGGGAGGCTGGGCCTCGCTTTTTGTGAATTGTGGTTGCATTTATGGCGAGAAATGTGCGGATTGAAGCCCTGGCCTCGAGCTGGCGGTGAGGGCAGGGACCCCCAAGAACACCCATCCTTGCGAGCAGGGAAGGGGCTCCTGGGCAAAATGTGAAAGCCGTGACAGCAACCAAATGTCAGAGAGAAGAGGGGAGCGTGTCACTGCCTTCCCGGTGCCGGATGAGTGTCACCGGTGGGAAGAGAAATGGCAGCATCCTGATGTCTTTGAGAGCTGGTTCTTTGGGGAGAGAAAAAGCAAAACTGTTGATTGGGCATCTGGTGATTGGCGTTGGAAGCCCAGTGGTGGGGATGAGATGACAGCAGCTGGGGAACGAATGCTGGCTCGCGTTGTAGGACACGGGATTTCTCAGAGACTTCATTTCGTCCATGAGCTTTTCCCTCCACTCTCAGCGCCGCCTTTTCAGTGTTGAAGGCGTTCTCAGAGATTCAACTACAGTCTGTTTTGTTTGCTATCGTGAAAAAAAACCAAAAAAAAACCCCAACCTTTAGTTTGGGTAACCACTGGAATTTATTTAGCCTCAGTCGTTACCACATGCCAAATATTTTCTCTACTTCTTCTATATTTATCATATATGTTAAGTCCCCACCACCACCCCCAGCGCCCACAAAAATGTCTGCTTTGCTTGGCCTATAAAGGAAAAAGATCCTTTTAAGGAAAGACACTTTTGTAAAAGATAACACTTGCTTGTTTTTACCATATCAGCAGTGTAAGAAAAGGAAAGAAAAAGAGAGGATGGGAACGTCAATGATGGCGAGAAATCCCCTTGCTTATGTGTGCAGATTCCTTAACACCGTAGCTGCTCAATAAGATGTAGTTAATAGTAATAAAGGATGTTCTGGTGTATAAGACGTTGTTTAAAAGTAAGAAGTGGCTTTGCATTTGCTCTTTCCATTCCATTGGGAGGTATCACTGTCATATCGCTCTCACAACTGCAGTGTTTGGTCATCCCGGTCCGTGTCTGTAATTCCTAAACGCATTAAAACGGTTTTAAGTTGATGTATTTTACTTCCAGAGCGGGGATGGATGGGGGGTGTATATATGGCCAGTTACCACAGAACAGCTGATTAATAACTTAGTCCACATCGTGTGGTTTGTGGACACGTTTGGTTTAGAGCTTCTTCCTTGGTGTTCCCCAGCTCTTAAGAAACAATCACTAATCATTCTCTGTTACCATCTCTGCAGCACTCACAAGTTAGAGAGATGTTTCTTATAATTCCCTTTTTAATTGCTTTTTGCTGCTGAATATGTGAAGAGGCATAAGGACTTAAGGGCAAGATTGTCCTTAAAGTTTTCACACTTTTTCCTTCAAAGGGTGCAACAAGTATCTATAGTGTGCAAGTTCTTAGCCTTTAAAACAGGGTAGAGATCCCAAGCCCTGCAAACATCTAACGCACAATGAAGATGTTCCATCCTTCCGCTAATTAATACCTTCATAGAAGGTATGAAGAAGAAATAACTAAAATGGTTTATGTTAGCGCCAGTGATTATTCAGCTGCTGAGGTGGAGCAGCCATTCAATTTCGAAAGATATATTTTGGGTTTCATGGAGCCCAAAAAAAAGTGGTTGCGTTTCTGGATAGGGGGTAGCTCCTCTATTTGATGTCTGAAGCTGGCAGCTGGTTCCGATTTTGCATCTGAAAGTGACACATCCCTTAAAGAAAAGTTGCTCCTGTTAAAAAGACACCGGTGTAATTTGAGCTGAACATTTCTAAGTTGCGGGATTAGAGAGATGAATCCAGTTTTTAATGGCATGTCATAATCAGGGAGTTGCATGGAGGTTAAGGGTCACGTTTCATACCCAGAGCCACTTCTAATCTCAAATATTTATCTCAAATTAGAAGCATCAGGAGAGAAAGAAGGGGGGAGGTAACTACAACCTGGAGTTCATTAAAGTGCTACAAAGGGAGAGGAACTCATTAGGGAATAGCTGAAAATGCCCCAAACAATTCAGGTTTCTGCCACTGTCAGGATCCAGAGGGTGTCTGCAAATCTACCAGGTGAGCCCCAGCCAAACAACTCCACGGGGCTGGAAACTTCCCAGAAATTGTGTTTCACTAGTGATGGCAGTGAACAAACCGTGGAATGACCTTTCCCTAAAATCACTTTTTCAGCAGTTGGTGCTTTGCATTAGATACGTATCCTTGTTTGCAATCTGTCACGCGCCCACGCAGAGAGTAACACATACATTTCCTTTTCAATAAAGCATGGAAATACCTCCTTTTATCATTTTTTTCCTTCTTCTTTCAAACGGATAGGAAATTAACTGTGAACATCTAGAAATATGTTCCAAGAGATGAGACAGAGCGATAAGTTAGTTATCCTGGTAACGATGCTTCTGAAAAGCATTTCCTCCCATGGGTACCAAGGGGACAACACGCTACGGATGGTGCCGTGTCCTGGGGACACTCAGGAGGGTGGTTCCCACCAGAGCGTCACGCAGCGCGTCGTGGCTGTAACGAAGGGCACAAACCAGCTCTGTCCCCTCTCAGCGCTGCTTTGCCCTCACCCCACTGCCCGTGCTGGCAGAGTACAGCCGGAGCGGGACTGTGCAAAAGGATTCCACTCCTTGGGGAGTAGTTTTTTCCAGGAGTAACTCACACCACACACACGCACACTTGGGATCAACGCAAGACCAAGAAACAACCCGGGGAGCTCCAGCTGAGCCCTGGCTGCAGAGCTGGCTGAGAAACACACCTGTGGAACAAGTCCTCGTGCAGGACTCCGGGTGTAATCCCCGGTCTCGGAGGGGGAAACGGCAAAAGGGCAAGTCCTGGAGCTGCCTTGGTCCTGGCAGAGTAGGAGGGAATGTCAGAACTGTCTCATTTGCTATTTATCTCTTAGTCCGGTATACTTCAACGTATAGGGTGACATCAGGACATACTGGAGTATAATGTGCCAGATATTTAATTTTCATTTTGAAATGAAAACAGCATCTTCCGTAATGCTATTCTCACAGAATCACATGGGGTTGGAAGGGACCTCTGGAGATCATCTCCTCCAACCCCCTGCCAAAGGAAGTCCACCCAGAGCAGGTTGCACAGGAACGTGTCCGGGTCGGTTTGGAATGTCTCCAGAGATGGAGACTCCACCACCTCTCTGGGCAGCCTGTTCCAGGGCTCTGCCAATCTCAAAGTGAAGTGGTCAGCACCACAAAATTCTCCAAAATCTGCCTGCACGTTGATGTTCTCTCAAGTTCAGTGTTTGGGCACCACTCACCATCCTCAATCATTAAAATTTTGCTAGCCTCCTCCTACCTCCTGCCTCACTCCTACCAATAAAAATGCCCCATCTTTGTGCCTGGAGCAGGAGTCCCAGCTTTTTCATGCTTTCCCTGAGCTCCCTTCCACACGGAGTCCCGTCTGTTCATCCTAGGGTGGCTCTTACCCAAAGGTGAAAGCTTTGTGCATCTCTCGTGCTGAACGTCAGCACCACAAAATTCTCCAAAATCTGCCTGCACGTTGATGTTCTCTCAAGTTCAGTGTGTCAGAGAGTTAAACTGCACCAGGTTTAAACGTCTAGAAGTGAGAAAGTCTGACACGCCATAACTTCACGCAGTTGTATGCTCTTCTTAGCAGCCCCCCTGCTCCTTCACGACAGGTAACACCAGCGTTTCACTCGGCTTTGGAGGGATGATGAGTGCTCTGAAAGAAACCCTCCCTTACCTGAACCCTACCCTTACCTGAACCAGGAGAAGAAATCAAGCTCCATAAAGCCAAGACAGGCAAAATTTCAATTTCTTTGCTTCACCTCTTTGGACAAAGGCCCAAAGACCTGAAACGTTAACACACATTCCTCTTTGCCCTATCACATTCAGTCACCCCTTCGTGCACCCAATGTCTTACGGAGCCCCAGAACTGCAAATCCCCCCAAAAAGGAGGGTGGAACCCAGGAAATGAGATGAACTTCACGCTTTTTCTCCCAAGAAGTAGGATGGAGCTCACCAACCTTACCCGTCTTGCTTTCCTGCTGTAGCTAGTGGAATTTGAAGTCCTGGAGTTGTTTATGCCGACTGTTGCAGCGATGCTGTAGCGCTCCCGAGGACGGACTGACTGATTCACCTGATCAGACTTCGCACAAACCAACGGGTGTCCCAGCTGCACCTCTGCTCGGGCAGCCAGAGGAGCTCTCTGACTTGCCTTAACTAGTCCCAGTGACCAATTGCTTGTACCTGTCACGACCAGTGAGGAATGGGTGATAAACCCAGTGTAGAAAAAGGTATGATGATGCAGAGCTGTGCTGGGACCAAAAATATACTGGGAGGGGGTGAGTGTAGTGTGCGTGTGGAGGGGTATGTTCAATTTAGTGGCTTTTCCTGGCTTAAAGGTACTGTTGGTACTATCGGCACTTAAATAAGAGGAAAATGTAGTTAGAGCAGCTGGACAGCCCTAACTCTGTCTCTACTAAAAACCCCTCTGGTTACTATTTTAAGATTATACTATTTTCACCTTTTCTGATCCCGGATAGATGACGTTTCCCGGTACAGACAGACAGTTTCCCTGCTGGGGGGCTGTCGGGGGGCGTGAGCTGAACGTTTTGGAAGCCGAACGAGGGTGGAATTCCTCAAAGTGTAGCTTTTTCTCTCTTTTTCCTCGGTTTTTAACACCGAGGTCTGCGACAAGCTCAGGATGGCTGTGACACTCCTGGCTCTCGCAGATGACACCCCGCTTACTGCCACCCGACACGGCGCTTTCCCGGGACCCTTCCTGCCTTTACCGGGACATCCCACCCCCGGGGACACGGGGGACAAACCTCACCCGAGCCGTGAAGAGCAGAGTCGTGTGTCCCCCCCCTTCCCCGCACCCCCGAGCGCCGGGGCAGCGTCCAGGCCGCCGCGGGGAGACCGGCGGGGCTGGCACCGGGCCCGCACCCCGCCGCTGCGGGAGAGCCCCCGCCGGCGTCCCCTC